CAGAGAGAAGTAAAACAGGACTGAAATAAAGTGGTGGGGATGGGATCTAATATACAGGTGGTGGATTTCATATGTGAAACCAGTTTACCGAGGGATGCAGAGTCAAGAAGAGAGAAGTTGGAGCAGCGAGGAGGTGAGGAAATGATATGTGTTGTGGAGAGAATGTGATGCTGGATATTGTCAATCTTGGAGCTAAAGAAATCTAAGAATGTGTAGCAAAGTTGTGATGAGGCAGGTAATGTGGTGGGGCAGTTTGGCTTTAGCAGTCTGTTGATGGTGGAGATAAGGTGTCTAGGGTTGTGTTATGCTCATTTTCAATTATGTCAGAGAAGTTGGTGGATCTAGCAGATCCTATCGTATCCTTATATTCTTTCCAAGCCTGATGATGTACGTTTAGCCAGAAAGTCGCCACTAATGCTCAAGTGTCCAGGAGACTGCCTTCATAGATCACAGATGGTCAGTGTACCAGGGGTCAGAGTGAGAAAAAGAGATGGTGCGAGTTTTTAGAGGAGCAAAGGTGTCAAGGATAGATGAAAGAGATTATTATTAATTAATAATAAATTAATTATTTATTAATTATAATATTAAGCAAATGTATTTTGTCCTCTAGAGCAGGGGTTTTCAAAGTTTTTGACATGCCCCCCCCCCCCATTTGTCTAAGTTTGAACTTGCGCCCCCCCCCACCCCAAAACCCATTGAGAAAACGATGCGAACACCCTTGTTACACTTACACAATATAGTTGACATTATGTATACATACATGCATTTCAGCGCCTTTCATTAATTTGGTTAAACTGTTTCATGTTCGAGCTGTTGTTAACTTTAGCAGTAAGCCACTGGTCCATTTTTAAGTTTGTAATCGTGATATAATGGGAAGTCTCAATTCTGCTGTAGCCTTCACCACCAAGAATAGACAGCAGGTAGCCTGCTTAGCCAGGGACGTGAGCCAGATTGCAACACCGCCCTTTAGTGGATGAATATGAATTGCTATTAACGACTGAAACAACATGTTCGCTGCAGTTGTTTCATTCTTTTTCATATTACTTGTGTGTTTGCGCCTAAATGTTTCGTAATCTTGCGCCCCCCTTGACAGGTGCTCATGTTCCCCCGCGGGGGCACACCCAACAGGTTAAAAACCCCTGCTCTAGAAGTTTAGAGTTAGAGAAACAAGATAAGGAGGATAGAACAGAATTTGTAAACCTAGGCTGATCAATTGATCGCCAGTTGCGGAAATTTACAGAGCATGAGGGGGAAGTGTTAGAAACAGGTAATTCCTGATTGAAAAGAATAGCTAGTTCCCCTTTAATTCTAAGTGAAATAATTAGACACTTGACCCAACACTCCTAAAGAAAGTTAAAGTACATTCTTTTCATTTTGATTAGTATTTTTAAATTAATTGAATATGTTTAATATTATAACAATATATAGTACATATCAGTAATATAAATATTAAATACTAATATTGAATAATACAACTTTAATTTGTTCTTATGCTGCTCTTTTATTTCTAAATAACCAATACAGAAATATTCAATATTGATATTTGTGCCATTAATATCTGTATAATATGTTAAAAACAATTTAAGATTGCCAGTGAATTCATAAATGCTTATAATTTGTTTAGATTGATAAAGGGCAAATATCCACATTGTTATTATATTTTCTTTTTTTTTATTATATTAAATTGAGATTTTAATTTTCCATACAGTTTAAGGTTATTTTGTTGAACTTGGAAAAAAAACCTGCAGATTATGTCTGGGTGTACATATGAATAAAGAAGCCATCGTGGTAATCTTTTGTCAATGGTAATACTGAATCCACTGAGCTTCTTTAGATTCCTACAAGACAACCTCCTGCCACTGCACACACAGAAGGTTTGTAGGATTATTGTAGGATGATAATACTGACTGGAAGACAGTTGTTTAGGTAAATATTTAAAAACAAGTGTTTTTATTGTTTAAAACAATACAAATTATTGTAGGATAATCGTGCCATATGTCAGAAAACCGGAACCACTTGTGCTAGAATGGACAGGTTGAATCCAAATGATTCATTTTTGGACACTAACATGAATGTAATTGAATGTATCTGGGAGTATCTGGATCAAGAGATTAAAAAGTCAGTTGTCTCCATGTGACAGCTACTTTAAACAAAGGACTGTGTTAGTCCAAATATAATTTATTTGGATGTCTTCAAAAGACAAAGAACATTCTATGATATCTTAGTGCAGTGGTTCTCAAACGTTTTGGACCAAGTACCACCCCTAATCCAACCAAAGCAGCCAAGTACCACCTACAAGTCATCTTCTCATAGGAACCCCAGAAATTCTCAATGACCAACATGAGCGCGCGTGCACTTACACTCACACATACATATAATAAATATTATAATAATAAACTTTATTTGATATAGCGCCTTTAAAGGTGGCTTCTCAAAGTGTTTTACAGAAAAAAAAACATTAACAACAACTAATAAAAAAGCACCATTTCAGTGAGAGAGGTGAGCCCGTTTAGTTGTGAATTAATTTTTCGAGCCTAGATACAATTCACAACAGAGTCTAACAGATATTAAATCATCAGGCATTTTCTTGACGGCAAAGGTCAATGTTGTAATGCGTACTGTACATTAATTTCTGGAGCAACCTCTCTAATTCGTGCAACTACACCGTTATGTCGGCTTGTCATAGCTCTAGCACCGTCTGTACAAATGCATTTTATCCAGTCGAGGCCATTCTCTTCGATAAATTCATTCAGAAGCTGAAATATGTTTTCTCCTGTAGTTCCTGTTGGTAGCGGTTTACAGAACAGAAAGTCTTCATGGGACATGCCCTCAAACTCGTATCTAACGTAAACGAGCAAATTGGCCAAATCGACTACAGACTCATCTAATTGCAGTGAAAAACATCTGCTCATCTTAACACGCTCTATCAGTGTACTTTTGATATAATCCTTCATTTCAATAATTCTATGAATGACTGTCTTTCAGGGGGAGGGGGGCAGCAGGTTGAGCTGTTTAGAAGCTTTTTCTCTGCACATAATACGTGTCAGCTCTTTTGCCAACGGTAAATAAGGTTTTCAAAAATAGTGTAGCTTACCTGCTTTAGCAATACGCAAGCTTGCATTTTTCCGCGTTTCCGTTATTATTTCATGCGCATGGGAGCGAAACACAGAGACGCTCGGTGTATTTTTCTCAAATTAGAACAGTTCTTAAATATTTTTCTGTTATCACGCTTTCGTGTGCTCACAAGATGACCTGCGTTCGTAGCACGTATTTCTATGCATTCCTGTGTTTACAACGTTGGCATTGTTCCAAAATCACGCACATTCTCTTTTCTCCCTATTTGCTGGAGATACAGTAGCTCTTTTTAAATACAATTGGTCACTTGCATCCGTAGCACGCATTCCCTATAGAGTGGTATAGAATTACAGAGTATCTCTTGTGTCCACTGAAGTATTCGCGCGCACTGTATCGTAGTACGTAGGCTGCTTATTCGACACGTATTAAAATACAAAATATGAAAACCCGTCACAATTTTTCAGCGCACACGACACAGTTCCAGGGTCATTTGGCGTACCACTTGGCAGCACTCCACGTACCACTGCCGGTACGCGTACCACAGTTTGAGAACCACTGTCTTAGTGTATAGAATCATTTTGACTTTGCTTGTATTCTTAACTGTTAAATACAAAAGTATTGGGACACAAAATTGGCATTTCCCTGTTGATTACACAAGAAATTTAAATTCACATTAAACAAATCATTCAGTTCAAAAGGTCACCCTTTGTTTTTAGGACATATTTTGCAAACACACTTTTTTCAATCAAAGCATATGCTGTGTTCAGTTCCCCAAAACATAGGTAACCATAAGTATTGGGACACTTAACTAAGCAAATTCAAGAAGTGAAAAGGTCATTATTTTGTTACAAATCCCTTGCCAGACTTTATCTGCAACCTCTTTAAAAAAAAGGCTTTCTGTCTTTAGTCTTTGAACAAATGAAACACGTGTTCAGTTGGATTCAGATCTGTTGATTGACTAGGCCAGTTTAAAATATTCTACTTTTTCTGTCTGATGAACTCCTGTGTTAAGCATGCAGTTTGTTTCGGGTCATTGTCCTGCTGCATAATGAACTACAGCCAATTAAGTTGTGCCATTTTTTCTTACATTTGAAGACACGATTTGTTTATCTCTGAGCTCATCCTAAAGTTGCCATCTTCAGTTAAGACATCAATAAAGACCATTGAGTCTGTTCCAGAAGAAGCCATACATGCCAAAGCCATGATACTCCCTCCACCATGTTTTGGTGGTAGAAGAAGACGTGGTATGCTTATGGTCATTGGTTGTTCCTGTTTTTCTCCACATGTTAGCCTTTCCATCACTTTGACAGATGTTTATTTTGGTTTCATCTGTCCATAAAACCTTGTCCCAGAACTCGTGTTGCTCATCTTTTTTGCAAATTCCGATCGAGCTCTTCTGTTCTTGCTGCTGTAGAGGGGCATACACCTTGCAGTACAGCCTCTGAATTTTTCTTGGTGAAGTCTTCTGCGTACTCCAGGTTTGCATCCCCACACTCTTGAGATTATTTTTTATTTCACTAATAGTCATTTTTGGGGTTTATATGCCTAGACGTTCACAGCTTTTTTGTGTGTGTGAAATGTATGCAGCGTGTAACCCCTTGGAAATTGGGAACAACTGTAAACCTGTTTGTTCCAATACTTATCCTTATCTAAAATGTGGAGGGTTGAACAATACAACTGTTGTTGTATAATGGTAAAACATTAATACATAAAACTACCCATAGGTAAAAGAGGATATTCTCTGCTTTTTTCTAATATTCATCTTTTGATTTGAAATCCTAATTTCCTGAGCATAAAGGTATAATGGGCTAATTTGAACTCTTGTCCCAAATCTTTGGAGGGCACTGTATATATCCCTCTGTATGAGCATTACCACATGTCTTTAAGAAGATGTTATTCTGATCTTTTGATGTCTGTGTTTCCAGATTCTGATGCCACAGTCTCATCAGATAACAGTGATGGAGAGGGTCGGAAAATGACTGAGAGTACAGGAGCAAAGAAGTGAGTTTGAGAGTGAGAATAGCTGTTGTCTAACCTCATGGCCACTGAGCGAGTAGCTCAGTTCCAAGTTCCTGTTCCAAGGATGTCATCTAGTTTTATTTATAAAAGCCAGGGTATCAGCTTTGACTACATGGAGGGAGACTGGGACAAGCTACCAGTCTCCCAAAACCCTTTGTAAAATAGTGTCACCTCAGTTTTAAATGCACTTCAATATAGTTCCTATTTGTTTGCTCTGGTTTTTGTTACACTTTTGACTTGGGAAGGAGGTTATGAACATACTGGAGGTTTCAAATGAGTCAAGAGTACTAATGATTTTGTTTATTTGGTTCAATTGGTTTATTAATGCAGGGATCTCACTCATCAAGTTGTTTCTTACATCATCCCAAGAAATGGGGATGTTGTCAGTTTGATTTTCCAGTTTCTAACAATGCTTTGTTTAAAGAAGTGCATCCTGTTTTCAGTGTTATATGCACAATCTCTTAATTTACATGTGTGTATTCTGGTCTGGAATTAGTCAAAGTTCTTTGGATTATCCTTGTGAATAACTTTTCAGGATTTTAACGAGTTGCATCGAATCGCTATAGCTCTGTTGAAAGCTAATCATGAATATAACAACAATCCACAAAAAAGGGGACAGAACTCAACCAGAAAACTAGGTGAGTCAGTCTTACTTCTGTTTTTGGTAAAGTTATGAAAATGATAGAGTTACATTAAAAGAATAATTAGAAAACATATTTAGCAGACAACATACATTTAGAAGGGCAAGTAACTTTCTTCAAACAAGCAACAATGAAATTAGAAAAGCATATGACATGATATTGTAACATCAGTCAGTCCAGACAAGAACAGTTGCTGGAAGACAGTTGTTTATTTAAATATTTAAAAACAAAAGTGTAGTATTTGTGTCAAGGGAAGTTGGTTAAGATCTTCAGTGCACTAGTAAGACTTAATTTAGAAAACTGGTTATGGTGGCCAAAACTAATGCAAATCTGAACAAAGAAAATATATTTTAGCCTTTGAAATAGTTCAAAGTAGAGAAACAAAAATTATTCCTAGTAGGAATTTCAGGAGTCTGGGGGTTTTCATTTGCTGTAACAATCAAATTGTGGGAGTACTTGGTCATTTTTGGAAACAACCAAACATAATAATTTACACAAATTATTAATATAACACAAATATACACAAATGTATTTATGAAATCAAAATGTGCATAACAAACAACATGATAAAATATATATCTGTGAAACGATCTTCTGTAAACTCAAATGCTGAATGTTCACTCAGGGATTACAAAGAACAGAATTAATGCCAGTAACAATATCAATGTAACAATAATTCTCAAGACTTATGTGATTAATTAAGTTATGTGCAACAATCCATTGTCCAAACGTCCTTAATGAGTGTAAACCTTCTGCTGGTAAAAACTAGCTGGGTTTCCATAGCAGCTTCTTGTGCTGAGAGGGTCCCGACATAGGGAAGAGAGAAAAGGCTTTTCTGTTAGTGCCTAGCACTTGTATTGGCCTGTGCCAGAGTCATACCCTGCAAACTTTGGTCTTTAAAATAGTCTGCACAGTTTGTTTTCTTGATGTTTACAAGGTAGACAAAAGTTGAACTGAGTTAATTCTGTGCAATGGCTTTATTCAGAATATTCTGGATGTTGACAAAAAGAAAGATTTCAACTGTCTAAATTTGTTGATCAGGTGAAAATTACAGTGGGTTCGCAAACACAAGATTTCTTTTATTTCAGAGAAAATATAGTTGACAGAATTGTGTACTTTACTGACTCACTCTCTCAGCCTGATTTCTTGGAGAAAAAATCCTGACTTGAACAATGTGGTTATAAAGTCAGTTGGCCAGTTTAGAGAGAGATCAAACAACTGGACAAAAATTACTTGTGTTCCAGTTTATATGAGGCACCAGTTGGTGATTGGCAAAGATGCTATCAGGTTTGGTTCTGGTACCCAACCAACAGATCACTTATTGGTGGAAATTCTTTTGGGTGATAGATAGTGATCTTTGACCTGTGGTTTTTGGGAATGCATCAGCCTGGAGACTGGCTGGAGCCCATCTGCACTATATATATTTAAATGCACTGCTTGATACAGTTTCATGATGTCTCTTATGAGAGAGACTGCTTTAGCCACATTCGTTTGGATTTAGGGAGAGACACAAGGCTGTTTTGTTAAGGGACACAAAGATTATGAGAAATCCTTAATACATTTAATTCTTAAGTGAAATAAGAAGCCTTGTCCCTATACCATATACAGACAGGTTGATCAAACTAAATATTTTCAGTCTGCGACTGAAGAGAGAATTAAGAAGAATTAAGGAGAAATAAGACAAGGTAGGTTACTGTTTCAGTAGTGAAACATGGGACATGGTCATGGGATCACTGTTGGAAATTTAAGAGGCAGTCCTTTGGGAAAGAGATTAAGAAACACTAATTAAGTCAAACATCAGTAGGTATCTGGAACAGGCCAACACCCTATGCGCCTTTAAGAAATGGCTGGATGAAACTTTAGCTTGACTTAGCTACTTAATTTCCAAATGGCCCCCTTTCATTTGCAGAACATTTTAATTTTCTTGTGATTATTGTGACTTCCCCTTCTTTTGACCACACTGATGAAAATGTTATGTTGGTATGAGAATAATGACATTAAGATTAATTTTACTCTCTGAAACTTTTCTAACAATATATTTGGTTTGACATACAGATTAATTAATCATTTGATTTCATTTGTTATTGCATTGATCCAGACGCAGAAGCAGCCCTCATCTGCCTAATGTCCCCTCACCATCCAGCAGTCTGGCTTTGCTGTCTAAAGGCTTCACAAACCTGACCAGTGGCCCAGGACCCTACCTTAGCACGGTGAGCGTTTGTCTCTGTCTCACACTGTGTTGTCTGCATTTCTCCCTTTATCATAATCCTCATCATTTACACCATGAACCTCATAAGTCCTGCTCCTGTAGAGCCATAGGCTTTCAGGGTCTACAGTTCTCTTTTTTTTCCCCAGAGATTAGTAAAGCTCTTTATGAATCTGGTTTGAAAAATTTAACTCAAGTTCACTAATTAGGGTTGATTGTAGGGTGTGTGTGACATGCATGTAAATTAAGGCCCAAGCCATGTCCTTTGATTTTCATTACAATTAAAGTCTTATTTTTGATATAATTACCTTATTTATCATCATTATTGCATTCATTTTGTCAGTTAAGTTTTTGAATTAATTTTTTCTCATTCATTATTCTTTTTTCTCTTTTTCCATTTTTACTTTGTTTTCCTGTCCTCGGGGTTGGTCACTGGTTAAACACTGGTTTTGTTGGCGATCGGTTGACGAATTGGCTGGCTGGCTGTTCGTAGCTGCCCTTTCCCCCTGCCTATCTAGCATCTCCTGCTGACAGAAACAGGAAGGAGAAAAAGACAAAGAGTGGCAAGCACAGGAAGCAGCCACCGGGCAAGGTACCTACTCCCTGAAAGTGAACATTTAAGCCCTTGCCATTAGGCATAGTATCTTGTCATACCAGTTGTGCTTTCCTAGGGGAATATTCAGTGTTATGGATATGCCCTCTGAGGAAGGTTAGTATATTACCAAGAACAAATCTATAACATTAAGAAATATATAATTGTTTTGGTAGAGAACCTTATATTCATTTATTTTTGTATTTATTAATTCTTCTGCTGCCTCCCTATCATGCTCTTGTGGCCATATAGATATTGATCCTACCAGTAGACCCTAAAGACAACATAGGAATCTATAGCCAACATTACTTTTATTACTTTTGCATGTCCTCAGAAATCCATTTTAAAATCACTGTATATTTTACATGAATTATTTTCCCACTAAAAGATTCCACTCTATGGTTTAATGCACAAGCATTAATCCCAAGGTGCTTATACAGGTAGTAGACAAAACTTAATAGAGCTTTGGACCACAAAATTCACTCAGTTGTCTACTAGAGTCTACTAGTGTTTGAAGTGCTGCAGGGGGGTTATGGCCCATTTTATTATGAGTCATTTAACTCATGCCTGGTTGATGGAGATGAAAAAGTCTTGGGTTCTGATCTAATGACTATGAAATCATTAGATGAAAACTATCAGTGTCATGCTCATCTAACTATGTCATGTTCATCAGGTGCGCACATTTATTCTATGGATAGGGCCATTGTCATCTGAGATGACACTCCTTCTGGCAGGTGGTAACAACATGCAGTAAAGATGTTCAAGTAGGTGACTGTATCAACATGCGTAGGCTGCAGAGGAATAAGTAAAGGTTTATTCAATGCTGAAAAGAGAAGAAACAAAATATTTTGGCTGTATGTGGAGCCTTCTTCGGGTGTTTGGACCAAGAAAAGGCTCCACAGACGAAATGTTGTGTTTATTTTCTTCTGTTTTCAGCATGTAATAAACCTTTACTTGTTCCTATGGAGTGAGGATGATCACCATTAAATACAGATTAACATTGACTTTGCCTTGTAAGGGAATGAATGCACCCAAACCATGCCAGGAACATGTTCCCCAAAACAGAACCACCAGAATATTTCACTTTTGGAAACAAGCACTCAGGGCTATAAAGTTTTTTAGGCCAGCTGCACACATGCAGTTGTCCATTTATTGAGAACATGGAGAAGGATGATTTCTCCATCAGCCTCCATACATTTTCTTCAATGCTTGGTAGTCCATTGTCTGTGCCCGTTGCATCACTGGACTAGCAATCATGCATTACCAGTTGTGAAGAGATGTTTGTGCGCTGCAACCAAACGAGAAGTATTGTGTCTTGTGAGAACCAACTGTAATTTCATTTGATCAACAAACTTATTATAGTTGGACTTCAGCTGACAAGCTTGAATATCAAATGAAATACCAATATATTTGGTAGTAGCATTATGTCTAGGAGCGAACTTAATTTCGCACTGCTTCTGTCTTGCTCGCAAAGTGGACCAAAACTGAATTTGTCCACAAACCATTGGAAAGTCACCTAAGATTGAATCCGAGTTGAATTCTTTCCATGCTAGGAAAACTGAACTGAACAGAGCCCGCTGAAGAAGACTGAACATAGGCTACAATTAACCCAACTCATTTGTTTCTCTCTACAGGATTGCTCCTGTAAGACAATTAAATAATGATTTCAATCACATGCTTGATAAAGTTTAGTTTATTAACCGTAATCAGTAATAACTGAGGAATATGTAATTTAATGTATGAGGTTGACCATAAAGAGTGTTGTAGTCAATGCATGTTAACCCTGAAGTTATTAATATATTTGTAATCCCTAAGTGAGTGAACAAGCATTGGTGAAGTTAGATTGATTCATGTGATTTATTGTTTTAATAATAAAATCGTATACTTGGAAAATGTGTTGTTAGTGCCGTTAATTTTGTTTGATAAAACACTCTTGCAATTTACTGTTCCAATTTCTATTTGTTTCGGTAAACTAAAACCATCACATAAGCTATAATTATAGGCATCCAAGCCTGTCCACCATTTTTTTTTACATGACCCTAGGCTAGTTGGGGTGTCACTTGCATGTGCTACACCTGTGGGGAATTTCTTGCTTTTAATTTACTTGGTGTTCCACATTTATGTAGGTTTTTACATTTTTGTCCACTACCTGTACTTCCTGAAGCCCCAGCTGGTCTCCCATTTTCTGTTTTACTGTTTAAAACATCTTGGTAGGTTGTTCCAACTGTTCTTTTTTGTATGTTTCAGGAATATTTATTGATTGAATGATTGACCAGGTTCTTCCAGGAAGAGCCAGTTTTTAAAACTTCCAGTTTTTGGTTTAAATTTCTTTAAAATGATTTCTTACTAATTCTCTATTATTCTTACTGATACATAATTTCGTCATTGCTGTCCTTATTCCATCTTTAGGTGGCAGGGCCTGCTCCAGCACCCTCATCAGGCCCAGCCTTCCCTGTGGCTGCTCCCCCGATGCCTCCCCGCCCTTTCAGCTGGGTGCCCAGACAGATGCTCAGTGGGGATGCTCCAGAAGACGGGAGCAATGGAGAGAGTGAGAGAGAAGAGGAGAGGGGAGAGGGAGAGGAGGCCGAGCTGGTCATTGACATTCCCAATGAGTGACAAAGTACTGTCATGATTGGGAAAAATACCTTTTTTCAAATTTTGCAATTAACAATTATAATATTTTGTAGTACTGTCCTCCTTAGCCTACTACCAATTTGGAGCTACAAAATTGAATTTAATTCACGAGTCATTGGTACACCCCTTGTACCCATGCAAGAAAACTGTAGGCAGCACAATTGATTTGTCAGTTCACATGTTACAGTGTTTTTACAATACAAGTTCTTTAACACTGAAATAAATCTTAGACTGGTAAACCTAAGCTTATCTGAGACACCACTGCGAAATCAAAAGCAAAAAAAAAGGTTCTTAAAGGTGCTATTGTGAAAGAATCAAGGGAATCTGTGGACAACTAAAAGTCCACTTAACTTTGGCGGTTCTTGCTCAGTTGAACACCTCCCCTGTTATGAAATCCCAGTCATACTGGGCTTGCCCAGAGTGGACCCAGCAATCTTAGGGGTATAGGGTCCAATCTGCACCCTAAACAAAGACTTTTACAGTCATACTGAACCAACAGTTAAAATACAACAGAAGTAGTAGTTCCTTATAGGTATAGTTGAGGACTAGGTGATAACATAAGGGTGCTTTATAAAACTAAATTTTGTATTGAACTGTGTTGTTTTTTACAGTTTAAGACAGAAGCCAACAATAAATGATCTCCTGATGCTTGTTAAAAATCTCTCTAGATATTACTTCTAACATTTGTGCTAGCAGAGCTAGTCATTGACATTCCTAGTGAATAATAAAGTGATATTATTCACTTTATTAAGTGTATCAATCCAACAGTACCAATTGGTCAATAATCCGTCTTGTAAATGTTCTGTGGATATTGGTGTACTTTGGGACAAAGGATGCTAATGTAATTAAGTCATTGGTGTTAGTTATTGGTGTTATATAATACTGTGGTTTGATTGCAAGTGTAATTACTAGAATGAGGTCATGATTTATATACAGGAAGATGCTTCACGAATATTAATCTTCAGAAACATTCAGTGCAATTCACTGAAGTGGTAATGCACCTTTTTTAACAGTAGAAGGTTTGTCAATTTTAATGTTTTCAAGTTTCAAAAATGTAAGAAGTGAAATAAAAAAAGTCATTAAGATCTAATCTGATGCTGTGTTTTTAAGGTGATGTATGATATACAATTAAGCTGACAAAAGATTAGTAAGTAGTTCTTAGTAAATTTCTACCCTGGGTTATGCTTGGCACCACTGACATTAAGTAATTTATGTTGTATGCTTTCTTACAATATCACTTAAGGAAGCATTGCACAGATCATAAATTATATAATTATTTCAAGGATCTTTCAGCATCTCTAAAGCAGATACAATACTGTAGGGGTTTTGTGCATTTACTGGGACAATTATTAATTGTAGCAGTAAGTCATAAAATGATTCTTTGATGGCTTTTAGAAAACCAACCTTGCAACTCAGCAACGCACACACGGATACTAATAGGCGACAATACATTTATTAATACATCCATTCGGCGACCTCTGGCCCAGTGCCCGGCAGTGGTGGTCAGGTGTGAGGTGTGGGAGAAGGAGGGAGGGATGTCTGCTGCGGCGCGCTGGCAGTGGGCTCTCTGAAGGCCGGCTAGTCAGTCCTGGTTTAACTAGCAGAGATTGTACACATGAAAAGTGACTGCAGGTCCAAGCAAGTCACACTCTTTAGACGGGAAGAAGACCGGTTCTTTCCCGATGTAGTGCTAGTCCTGAAACCTGAGATTCGGCTGTCGACAGTTCCGACCGTAGTTCACTCGTTGATCAGGCGAGCGTTCACGGTGGGGACTGGTGGTTCACGAGGCTTCCTGCTGGGCTAACCTCGGGCAGATCCTTTGGTTACGCGTAGGCGACCTCCGTTCTCGACTCTTAGAACAAAGTAAAGTCCTGGCACTCGGACACACTGGCCGTCACGTGATTGTCTGAGAATGTCCTGGAGGAGCTTCTTCTGGGCCCTGTGCTGCCTGTTTTATTTGGAGGAACTACGGTCGTTCGTTGGTTGAAAGTTCCGCGAGCATTCAAGACCCACGTGGGGTTACCCTGCCCTACCAGTTCCTGATTGGCTGATTGAGGTGGAGGATGAGTAACAATGCTCTCTGACCTTTGTAAATCTTTGTAAAAAGGGTTGTAAATCTTGGGATGAGACTCTCCCATGGAATCTCCCAGACAGTAAGGGGCCAGAGATGACCATTTATTAGGGTGGCTGGAGGATCTCAGCCTTGGGAGTTGTTCCTTATCAGGAAACTCTATCAGATAGAAAAACAACTTAAATCTGAACAAAATGGAATGGCCTCTGTGTCCAACACCACTAAGATGAGGGAGAGAGAGACTGGCAAGGGAGCAGCAAACTTAATTCCTGTATTATTAATAAGCCTTGTCGCTATAATACAAATGGTCACAAAATGGTGAAATGGTGTTTTCACAAAAAATAATTTGATGTTAATTATTTTCTACATCACAATGCAGAAAAAGGAAACATGGAAACAAATGGAAAAATATTAACTTTGTAGACTAAATTACTTTAATTGTGAGTTGATTGGGCACAGCTGATAATGGTATTTAACAAGTTCAATAACCTGCTTGACGAAAATGCAGTAACGAAAATCTTCCAGCTTATTAAGAGGACAATCTGTTTGTGTCATTGATATGTTGGAACTAAAATAAGTCAAAGCACTGTTCATCTGAAGTATTCATAGCAAGCAATTTCTATCCTGGCAGGTTTACAAACCTGGCATTACAGCCAGCAACAGTATGCCAATTGTTAGGTCACTATGTGGGAGATATATATATACAAAATGTTGCAATTGAGGAGGCTATTCATCCTATCCCATTTGGTAATTAATAGTCAACTTCAGTTAATTTTAGGTAATTATTTATTACCAAATGGGTTATTAACTATTTTGCCATCAGCCATATCACCCTGCAGCTAACAACTGACAACCCACTGAAGCTAAGCAGGTGTGTGCCTGGTAAGCACCTGAAAGGGAGACTTCCTGGGAAAAACTATAGTTGCTGCTGGAATTAGAGGGGCCAGACAGGAGTGCTCACCCTGTGGTCACTGTAGGTTCTAAAGCCCCAGGATGGTGATGGAGACACTATACTGTAAAGAAGGGGTCATCCTTTGGTTATGATGTAAAACCGAGGTCCTAACTTTCTGTGGCCATTAAAAATCTCAGGTGTTTCTCGAAAAGGGTACAGGTGTTACCTTGGTGTCCTGGCCAAATTTCCCATTGGCCCTTACCAATCATGGCCTCCTAGTAATCCCCATCTGTGAATTGGCTTCATCACTCTGGTCTCCTCCAATCTGACAGCCAATCTGTGTTGAGTGTACTTTGAGCACTATGGCTTCCACCAGGCTGCACATTTGTGGTGGTGCAAGGTTGTCCCCATGTAAAGGGCTTTGAGTGTAGTGTCGAGAAATGTGCTATATAGTGTAAGCAAATTATTATTATTAATAATAATATTATATGATTATATAGTATTGCTTGAAAGTTTGTGAACCCATTGCATAATTTTTAACCACAAAATTCATATTTAATCAAAGTTTGTCACTTCCAAATTTAAATAAAGTATAATTATTCACCAATTTGAGTGTTTTAATAAAAATGTGCATGCAGCAAAATAATATACAAAATATACATTTTTTGTGAAGGTGCAAAAATAAATGAACCCTTCTGTGACTTATATCAAGGCAAAGCAGGATCTGCTGGGTCAATGACAGTGTTAACCAATTAACCGCGATAACTAATGAAATTGAAGATCTGAAAAGATGTGTTAGGGAGGAGCAAACATAAATAATTGCAAGAAAGCAGGTCAGTTACTATGAGTCTAGCATCATGCCTTGAACCAAGGAAACATCAGCAGAACTGAGGAAAAAAGTAGTGGATGCTCATCAATCTGGACAAAGGTATAAAGCCATTTCAAAAAGATTCAGAATCCACAAATCCACTGTTAGGGAAATAGTATACAAGTGGAGGGCATTTAAAGTATTGGCAACCCTGCCAAGAAGTGGACGTCCTCCTAAAAGTTCAACCAGGGCCACAAGGAGAATAATAAGAGGTAAATGGTAATCCTAAAATAACATCCAGAGACCTACAAGCCTCCGTAGCTGCCTCTGGAGTAGTGGTGCATAGCTCAAAATAAGAAGAACGCTGAACAGAAATTTATGGAAGGGTCACCAGGAAGAAACCCCTTCTGTCAAAAAAGAGCAAAGCTGCCTGTCTGAAGTTTGCCAGAGACCACCTGGACAAGCCAAAAGAGTTCTGGAGGTCTGTTCTCTGGACAGATGAGTCAAAAATTGAACTATTTGGGCACAATAAGAGGGCCCGTGTTTGGCAAAGAGCCAACACAGTGTAGTGGTTTGATGGGTTTACTGAGACAATTATTAATTGTAGCAGTAATCACGAGGTTGTTCGTTGGGGCTTTTAGAAAATCAATCGTCAGAACAACTAACAACGCACACACACAGGTTCAATACACGGGATACATTTATTAATATAAACTGTGC